ACACTTCAAAATATCCTGCCGTTGCTGAGGAGAGAGGACTGGTCTGCCTTACTGGACTTGAGGGATGCCTGTTTTCATATTTCGATCCATCCACATCATAGGCATTTCCTCCATTTTGCGGTTGCTTCTGAAATCTACGAATTCATGGTGCTCCCGTTTGGACTGGCCACTGCCCCGAGGGTCTTCACAAAGTGTATGGCCCCTGTCTGCGCACACCTTCGACTACGCGGAGTTCAAATATACCCCTATCTCGATGACTGGTTGCTGGTTTCCCAGACTAGAGAAGGACTTTGTTCCTCTGTAGACATGGCCTGCTCCTTATTACAGGACCTTGGACTTTGCATTAACTGCAAGAAATCTCTTGTTCCTACGCAGATGATAACTTCATTGGAGCCCGTCTGGATTCTACAGTGGCCAAGGTTTTTCTCCCTCAAGACAGACAACGCACTATTACTCAACACATCCATCAAATTCGACGAGACGGAACTGTTCCTGCCCAGACTTTTGGGGCACATGGCAGCATCCCTCGCTGTAGTTCCATATGCCAAGCTTCAGCTTCGCCCCCTTCAACTGTTCTTCAACAGAATGTTCCGGCCACAGACGGATTTACCTATGAAGTTGATTTGACTCCCGTCCTCAGTTCTACAATCCCTACTATGGTGGACGGTATCAGACAACTTAAACATTGGAGTCCCGTTCCGACCTCGGTGCCCTGCAGTGACTCTTGGTACCAATGCGTCTCTGCTGGGATGGGGAGCACTGTGCTCTGGCCTACACACACAGGGTATTTGGAATTGACAGGAGTCCAGGAATCGTATCAATTTCCTGGAACTTATAGCAGTATTCAAAGCTCTGCAATCATTTGAGGACGTTCTTCGCCGTCGAGTTGTTCAGATAACCTCAGACGACATCGCTGCAGTCTTTTATTTGAACAAACAAGGAGGGACGAAGTCACCAACGTTAGCCCGGCTATCGATGCAGATCTGGGAGTGGTGCATTCCGAGAGACATTACCTTGATAGCAATACACCTAGCCGGTACGGACAATGTGGAAGCCGATCTCTTAAGCAGGCACATGTCCACATCTCACGAATGGGAACTGGACCGTCAGACATGCGACTGACTGTTTCAGCGATGTGGTCTCCCAGACATAGACTTATTCGCCACTTGACAAAACGGTATGTGAGACTTTTTGCTCGAGAGCAGGAATCGGACAGGGGTCATCCGGGGATGCCTTTATCATCCCTTGGAATGATATGATCTTTTACGCTTTCCCCCCGCTTCCCCTCATTATGAGAGTAATAGCAAAGATAATCCACGACGGAGCCACAGGACTGCTGATAATTCCTTGGTGGCCATGCCAACCATGGTTTTCAACACTTCTTCACATTTCTCGAGAGAAATACCTTCAACTTCCTCCCATTCCTTATCTCATAACTCAGCGGGAAGGAACGATTCGCCACCCAGATCTAGCATCGCTGAAAATGACAGCCTGGCGAATTCGATAGCAGTCAGCGTCGACTCGGTACCAATGTCATCTGCAGTTTCTACTGATCATGTCTCCGGATCCGGCACGCTATTCCATGTTTCGAATCCACCTACCTTCTCTACGTCTTTGGATCCGACGAATATTCTGTCGGGTTCGCGAGTTTTTCATCCAGACATCCAATGTATTCTCAATTCTGCGCTAAGGCCGTCCACTTGAAAATCGTATGTGGCGAAGTGGCGTAGATTCTCTATCTTTGCTGAATCTCACTCGTTTTCGCCAAACTCTGCATCCATAGATCATATCCTCCAGTTCCTCTTAGAACTTCACCGTTCTGGACTTAAACCATTCTCCATAAGAGTGTATATGGCAGCAATTTCCTATTACCGTGGTACAGTTCAAGGTTCTTCCATTTTTTCTCAACCACTGGTAAAGAGATTTCTTAAAGGACTCCATAACCTCCATCTGACGGTCAGACTGCTTATGCCTACTTGGAGTCTATCAGTGGTGCTACAAGTGCTAACAAGACCTCCTTTCGAACCTTTGGCAACAATTGATTTATGCCTTGTCTCTTGGAAAACTGCTTTCCTTGTAGTGATTACTTCAGCCCGGAGAGCTAGTGAGCTCTGCGCCCTCAGGGTAGACCCTCCATATTTGAACTTTCATAGGGAGAAAGTAGTTCTACGAATGGATCCGTCTTTTCTTCCAAAAGTGGCTATCTCTTTCCACATGGGCCAGGAGATTGTCTTACCTGCTTTTTTCCCATCTCCTTCAAATCCGATTGAGAGGTCCTTACACACTCTCGTCATACGGCGTTGTTTAGCCTTCTATAGATCGAGGGCTGAGTCTATTCGACATTCCAATAAGCTCTTCGTTAAGTACTCTGAGCAAAATCAAGGTTTTCCGGTTACCCCTCAGAGACTTTCCAAGTGGATAGTTCACACTATTATTCTGTCCTATCAGTTGGCCAAGATAGACTTACCCACAATTCCCAGGGGTCATTCTACTAGAGCTGTAGTTGCTTCTTCAGCCTTTGCGTCGGGAGTTCCAATCAACGATGTCTGCAGAGCTGCCACCTGGGCTACTCCATGTACATTCGCTACCCATTATAGACTGGATGTTTGGACTAGACAAGACTGTTCCTTTGGCAGAGCCATTCTTTCAACTATTCTTCGTTGATGACACCTCTCTCCTCCAGTTAGGGTAAGCTCTACCCATATGTGTGATGCACAGAGGCCACGACGAAGAAAAGCAGGTTGCCTACCTGTAACTGATATTCTTCGAGTGGCCATCTGTGCAGTCACACAACCCACCCGCCAGCCCCGCTTGGTGTCCTTGGGTGGTATTGTTGTTGTTTTTTTCGGTACCATGCTATTGTTGTCCTCAGTACCTACACAATATTTTTTCTTCTTACCATCGATACTGACGATATTTTTTCCCTTCATTTAGTTATAATTTATTCTTTAGAGAGCGAACGTCTGGTCTGTCAAAGACTGGAAAATGGTGGACACTCTGCTCCATATATACTGCTAGGGGGGAGGGGAGGGGAGTTTTCCTGCCAAACCGTTAGCTATCAATCTTCCGGCCAAAGGTACTGCGCAGGCGCAGTACCCATATGTGTGATTGCACAGATGACCACTCGAAGAACATCAGTTACAGGTAAGCAACCTGCTTTTCTTTAGACGAGCTCATTCCATACCGAAACCTATGCTCATCCTAGTTCAAAACAGTTGCTTCAGCATTGATGTTTAGAACCAATGGAGTGTTCTTATTTCTTCGTCGTGGCCTCTGTGCATCACACATATGGGTGCTGCGCCTGCGCAGTGCCTTTGGCCGGAAGATTGAAAGCTAACGGTTTTTGGCGGGAAGCTCCGCTCCCCTCCCCCACAGGCTATAAAGAGCGGAGCGTCCGCCATTTGTTCAGTCTTTGCGACCGCCGTTCGCTGTGCCTCGTGCCGCTTTCGTCCTTTGCTTTGGCCATTCTGGTTCTCTCTCTATATACTGCCCTTAAACTACTTTCCCGTTACTTCGTTTTTCCCGTTTTGTGTAGCTCTCTCTCACTTCTTCTTCGATTTAAAAAAAAAAAAACCAAAAAAATATATACTTACCCTCTGCACTATCTCTCTTTTCTTCCCCTTTCTGCGATGACGCAGCGGGCGGCTTTCCGCAAATGTGCTGATTGTGGGTCAAAGATGGCACCGACCGATCCGCACGACCTATGCCTCCTCTGCCTTGGGGAAGGGCATAGGACGGGTAAGTGTGTTCATTGCCTAGCCTTCTCTAAACAGGCTAGGAAGAACCGCGAAAACCGGCTTCGGAGGCTCCTTTGGGATAGGGCTCTGATGCAATCAGACCCGCTCATCCTTACCCCAAAACCGGGCTCCGCTTCTGTGGCTCCTCCTTCACGCCCTT